AAAAAAATTTTTCTAATTAATCTGTATTGACCATCGTTAATTAATGTTAATCAATATTTTAAAAAAACATTGTTTTTGACAGAATAAACCTGATGATGGAACGTACCTAGTTTCGAAACGTCGTATTAAACATCTTCAAAAAACAAATTGTTTTTTATTATTAGATTTACTGTTCGGAAAAGAAACAATCAATATATTGAAAAAATCCAGGACTTATCTATTGAATATACTCCAGAACACAATGGGACGAAATTTCTTTCAATCACTGTCAAACACTTCAGACCACAAGCACCACACTCTGATGAAAACATTTTCAAAACTCAATATTAAATATGCAAAAGCCATCAACAAAAAAATATTTTTATTACGATGTAAAAATGAATGGATTATACCGAATTTCATAACTAATATTATCAACCAACAGTTTTTACAAACAACTTCAAATATATATAAAATTGAGCGGCAAATATCATACTTACAAAATTCAGTACTTAAATTAGAAATAAAAAATTCTTTTATTGACATAAAAAATAAAAAAACACGAATAGATCAGATAATAAATACACTCCGAGAAACAATGGATGAAAATACTTTTAATAAATTTTTAGAATTCGAAAATAAAAAATACGATAAACACTTTCATATTATTAAAAATAAACAAATACAGAAATTGAAAAATCTTATACAAATTCGAGATAAAAATTATCCATTTCATGTTTCTAAATTTTCGATAGACAAATGGCTAATAAATAAAACCAATATAGTCATTCCAGAAAATATCCAATACATTTTAGCACTCGGTCCAAAATTCAATTACGCACCTAGTAAATACAGAAATAATGACTTCATAAAAATTTTAAGTAACATAGAATACAATATAAGGAACATTGAGACTGACAAGCAAAATCGAATCAGGTCAAAACTATGTAAAAAACTAGTTAAACATTTAAAAAAAGTTGATAAGAGTTTCCAACATATTCATCTTAAAAGACTACACAAAGATATAGCGGAGACCAAATTATTCATTAAATCTAATAATATAATTGTTTGTCCAGCAGATAAAGGCAATATGACGGTAATTCTTGACAAAGAATTTTATACTAACACTACATTACGAATGCTAAAAGATGATACTACTTACAAAATCATTACAAATGATCCAACACAACAGTTTTCTAGACAATCAATTAAATTAATTAATGAATTAAAAAATAAAAAATTCATTTCTGACAAATTTGCCTATAATTTAAAAGTACAACATCCTATTTCCCCAAAAATGTATTGTCTCCCCAAAGTCCACAAACCTGAATGCTCCTTTAGACCCATTGTATCCTACGTTGGCTCCCCATTCTATAATATCGCTAAACACATTGCTAATATTTTAAAAAATGTCACAATTTCCTCTCCTCACTATGTAAAGAACTCTTACCAATTTGTGGATCTAATCAAAGACCGAAACATTACGGACGATCAAATTTTTCTAAGCCTTGATGTAATTAACCTTTTCACATGTGTTCCCCATGATTTAATACTTGATTCAATTGAAAAACGCTGGCCCACTATTTGTAACTACACCGACTTTCCCATAACCACTTTCAAACACATCATTAACACTGTCCTGAATTGCTCTTATTTTAATTGTTTCAATAATTTTTATCTACAAATCAAAGGTACTGCTATGGGTTGCCCATTATCCCCTGGCATTATAGACCTAGTTTTACAAACCCTTGAAATTTCCGTTTTCTCCACATTAAATTTCCAAATATATTTTTACGTTAGATATGTAGATGACACTTTTTTTATAATAGATAAAGAACAATCAGATATGATAATCGATACCTTTAACAATTACAATAAGAGCGTTCAGTTCACACATGAAACACAAATCGACAACAAATTAAACTTTTTAGACGTGACTGTACACAAAATTGACAACATTATTTGCACAAATTGGTACAGAAAAACTACATGGTCAGGGAGATACCTTCATTACGCGTCATATTGTCCCAAAAATTATAAAGTCAATACAATCATTTCTTTGATAGACCACGCAATCATGTTGTCTCACTCTTCTTTTCATACCCAAAACACAACATTAGTAACTAAAACTTTATTAGAAAACGGATATCCCCTCACCCTCATCAATTCCATTACCAATAAAAGACTTTCCTATCATAAAAGTAACAATTATCAATCCATCTCCAAGTTATTCCAAGACAACAATATTAAACCAACTTTTCACAGCATGCCTTACATTGAAGGCTTATTTGATTATTTTGACAAATTACTCAAAGAAGAAAATATTTTCATTTCAGGAACAGCTCTATATTCTTTTAAAGAAATGTTTTCAAAAATTAAATCCACCACCCCTCCTAAATTCAATACTAACATAGTTTATTCCATCCCTTGCAAAAATTGTCAAAAACAATACATTGGCCAAACATCACAGTACATTCATAAGAGAATGAGACAACACGAATTAAGCGTCACTCATCATAAAAGCCGAAATTTCCAAAGTACTCTTGTCCAGCATTCCATCGAAAACTCACATAATTTCACCTTTGAACCCAATATTTTATATAGAGAGGATTGTACTTTTAAAAGACTTTTTTCTGAAAGCAGTTTAATCTTTTTGAATTCGTCAAATAGTGTTAATAAAAGATCAGATCACAATATCATTCATGACTCATATTTAAATTTTTTAAACCTGATTAAAAATAATTAATCCTAATAGTTTTTGAATATGTATATATATATACATGTATATATGTTATAATATATGTACATCCATATATGTGATTATATGTATGTTTTTGTGTGTACACTATACACATACACTTGCATATATGTTCATGTGTATAATTGTAGATACATTAATATATAGATATGTGCATATGTATGTATGAGTATGTAGGTGTGCATATACATGTGCATGTATATATATATATATATATATATATATATATATATACATAATATTTCTCAACATTTACTAAAGCAATATTTCCTTTTTTTCGTAAATTACCAAACAAGAGCCATAAAAAATCATTTTTTGCCAAGAATTCCGTGCATTGTCCTTTACATCTGGCAGACAGAAATCCATATCAGTGTGTTTAAGTCTTGTGTAGTCGTAACATCTACAAATATCTTCCAAAAAAATCGAGTGTTTTTAACAAAAAAAAAAAAAAAAAAAAAAAAAAATATTAGTGATATGGATATATAAATTATTACAGGTAAATAATTTTTGCTTCTCAATTTTATATAAAAACCTTTTTTAGTTAAGTCTTATTACTCTTTACCCCGGTACATAATCCATTCCTTTATTAAAATATTTTTTTCTAATTAATCTGTATTGGCCATCGTTAATTAATGTTAATCAATATTTTAAAAAACATTGTATTTGACAGAATAAACCTGATGATGGAACGTACCTAGTTCCGAAACGTCGTATTAAACATCTTCAAAAAACAAATTGTTTTTTATTATTGGATTTACTGTTCGGAAAAGAAACAATCAATATATTGAAAAAATCCAGGACTTATCTATTGAATATATACATATATATATATATATATATATATATATATATAATATAATATTTATTTATATTATATATATATATATATATATATATATATATATAATAAAAGATGACATAAATATTAAATTTGGAACTACGTTTACGGAAGACAACATTGAGAATCGTTGGAGAGTGCTGCAACGAAATTATAAAAAATATGTTGTCAGTCGAGCTACTGGTACGAATAATGATGTAAATATATAAAATAATTTTATACATATTAACAATTATGTCTAATAGGGCAAGGAACTTTCAGTTTCCAGTATGCAGAAGAGTTTGATGAAATATATGGCAATAGCCACAATATGAATCCAATCTGCATACTGGAAATAAATGATGTACAAGAAATAGAAAACAATCCACCCAACCAACAAGCGCGGGATGAAAGTGCACATGAAGTTAGAGAAATTATTGCAACTTCAAGAAGAAGGCAGCGCCGTAGAAGGCAAACGATATTAGAGAAAATGAGAGAAGACCGGTTGAGGTTTCAAGAAAGAATAATACAAATAGAAGAAGCAAAATTGGCAATTCTAAAACAAAAATATGGAATGCTCTAAAATAAAATAATATTAATAAATTTTCAATAAATATAAATAAATCATTATCCAATATAAACGCCTGATTTTAATTTATTAATTCATTTAATTTTTTTTCAATACAGAACATTCACAGAATAATACATTATAAGTACTTGACAAGAGCCTGAAATAATATTTATTATTATTGATCAAGGCGTGCTTATGAATAAATTAATGAATAAATAAATAATGTAGGTTTTGCCTAATTAGGCCTATAATGATAAATTAGCTGCAATTTGATCGCGTAATATTGAAGCATCTGTTAAATAAGGATCAGAATCTGCCACATCATCTGATGTCTCATTATTTTCATCTTCCATTTGCAAATATTCAAATTCATCAGTGAGACTCATATTATATAGAAAGCAGCAAGCTCTTATAAAGTGAGAAATAAGAGTTATATTTCTTAGTTTTAAATGATATAGTTGTTTGAACTTTTGTTTTAGCATACCGAATGTATGCTCAATTTTAATTCGATTACTGCTGAGTTTTTTATTAAAATTTTTCTGAATTACTGTAAGGTCATGAGTATTTTTATAAGGTGTCATCAAATTTGCATTTAGTGAGTAGCCATTATCTCCTAATAAAATAAAATGTCCACATTTTTTAATTAAATTTGAGCCCAATTTTGATTTTCGAAATATTCTTGCATCATGAACAGAACCAGGATTTCCAATGCACACATCTATAATTTTCTTTTGGTCATCACAAACTGCCTGAATATTTAAAATACATATAACTGTAAACTGGAATACTGTAAAACGCATAAAGATGCAAGTAGATGAAGAGCAGTACATGAATTGAATAAAATCCTTTTCGGTTCATATATGAATTTGGATCCTCTATCGGTTTGTTTCCTCTATTCGAATGTGGCAACCGTCAATTGCACCAATTACATTTAGAAAATCATTTTTAGCAAATTCTGCGGCAATCACCAACTTTTCCTCATCACTCGGCCATTTAATAAATTTTGGGGATAAATTGCTTAAAAAGAAAGCAACCCTTTGCACTATTCCATGTAAAGTACTTAACGTTATATTAAAACGATCACTGACATCCCTGTAGCTGGATGTTTGGTGTCCCGCAAACCATAAAAATATTAGTATCTAAAATAATATGTAATTAATTATGATTTTACTGGTTTGTCAATTATAGTACATTTTTTACCTGATTAAATGCACAGATTTTTCCGAATGGTCCATATTTAATTTTGTTGTCTGATATATTAGAACACGTTGTTTTGCTTATTCTGAAGTTCTCGAGAAATTGTATGTCATCAAACAATGGCACCACTTTTTCTGTCAAAATGAAACTATAAAATGATTGCATTGCACTTATGAAATATTATATTATATTAACCTCTGCCTGACTGAGATATGAAAATAATGTATATATATATATATCTATATATATATATATATATATATGTATATGTATATATATATATATATATATATATATATATATTATATATAAATAAAATAATAAACTAGTGGGGCGCATGGCATCGTGCCTTAAGGCAAATTGCTGGAACTTCCCGTACCAAAAATTATTTTTTTAAAAAGATTAACATTTTTGAAAAAAAAATTACTCTGAAAAAAATAGATTTTTGAGAAACTATAAATTTTTGACAAAATCTTACTTTTTGTTGAAAAATTTATTTTGAAATATTTTGGAAATTCTGAACTTTTTTTCAAAGCAATCGTACTGCTTTAAATGCATAGAGACTAAATATTGAAGCGCGTAAGCGCCGCGTCGTCGTCTAACGGATAAACACTGGTACGGAACCCATAGGAATGTTAACAAAACTTATACTTATTGTTAAAATCTCTATAAAATATCTGATAATTTGATATGCATATGTCTAATGTCTAATGATTATTGTTGACCGCCAAATAGTATTTTTTTTAGTTTTTTTCACTAGATCTCAGAAACCGCTAGACCTATCTTCATGAAAATTTGATAAGTTCTGCATCTTGTTCAAACAAGTAAAATGTTTTTTGAATTATACAAATTGGACGCTCCGTTCTCTTAAAAACTGAGTTACCGTTTTTGGCACTTTTTGCCCCGTATCTTCGGAACGGCTAGGCCTGCCTTCGCTAAAGACTAATCAGCACGTCTTCTCATCAATACAAATCGAATATTTTTTGAATTAGTCAAATCGCTTCATCCGTGTAACCGAAATCGTCGACAAAAATTTGTATCCGAACACACACACATACACGCACACACACACATACACGCACATACACACACACACATACATCAATTTTTTCTAAGGCATGCCAAAATGTTCAGAAGGTTTTAAAACGTAAAAATATATAAAAAAAACGATTTTTTTGCGATTACTATAACTTGCTCTACGAGAAGTTAATTATAAATAAATCAATTTATCATCTCCATAACATTAACAATCGTCATTTCATTTCGAATTAAATTTCAAAAAAAAATAGTTGCCAAATTTACACAAAATTGAAAAAGTGCTCCCGCATAGTCACAGTCTAAACGCATTTGCAAATAATTCTGTGCGACATTTTCACTTATACTGTGCTTAGCTTGGCGGCATTTTCACATTTTTCAATAATTTTCACAAAATTGGAAAAGTGCTCCAGTACATAAACAGTCTAAACGCACTTGCGTAAACATTTGTACCAGAGTGGCGCTTAGACTGTGCTTAGCCTGGGTGATTTTTTGAATTTTTAATCCAAAATTACAAAAAAAAATTTTTTGAAAAAAAAATTAGAAACAAAAATTTTTTTTTCCAAAATCAATTATTTTGTTGAAAGAAGCAGAAAGTTCTTTGAATCATTTAAATCGGACGCTTAGTTCTCTCAAAAACAGCCCTTTTTTTAACATTTAGCTCTGTATCTCCGAAACCTCTGGGCCTACCTTTGCCAAAAACTAATCAGCACATCTCCCTATCAATAGGAATCGAATGTTTTTTAAACCATTCAAATCGGTTGATCTGTTCTCTCAAAAACTCGCTTTCTATTTTTTGCACTCTTTGCTCCATATCTCCGTAACGGCTGGACCTGCCTTCTCCAAAAACTAATCAGCACGTCTCCTTATCAATACGAATCGAATGTTTTTTAAACCATTCAAATCGGTTGATCCGTGCGCCCGAAAACGTGGACGAAAAAACGTGGACATACAAAACACACACACACACACACACACACACACACACATCCATTTTTTCTGAGGTATGCCAAAATGTTCAGAAACCTTCAAAACGTCGAGAAATGTAAAAATTTTTGATTTCGATTTTTGGACGATTACTATAACTTACCCTACGGGAAGTTAAAAAAAAATAGTTGCCTAATTTGCACAAAATTGAAAAAGTGCTCCCGCATAGTCACAGTCTAAACGCATTTGCAAATAATTCTGTGCGACATTTTCACTTATACTGTGCTTAGCTTGGCGGCATTTTCACATTTTTCAATAATTTTCACAAAATTGGAAAAGTGCTCCAGTACATAAACAGTCTAAACGCACTTGCGTAAACATTTGTACCAGAGTGGCGCTTAGACTGTGCTTAGCCTGGGTGATTTTTTGAATTTTTAATCCAAAATTACAAAAAAAAATTTTTGAAAAAAAAATTCGAAACAAAAAATTTTTTTTTCCAAAATCAATTATTTTGTTGAAACAAGCAAAAAGTTCTTTGAATCATTTAAATCGGACGCTTAGTTCTCTCAAAAACCGCTATTTTTTAACATTTTGCTCTGTATCTCCGAAACCGCTGGGCCTACCTTTGCCAAAAACTAATCAGCACATCTCCCTATCAATAGGAATCGAATGTTTTTTAAACCATTCAAATCGGTTGATCCGTTCTCTCAAAAACTCGCTTTCTATTTTCTGCGCTCTTTGCTCCATATCTCCGTAACGGCTGGACCTGCCTTTGCCAAAAACTAATCAGCACATCTACCTATCGATAGGAATCGAATGTTTTTTAAACCATTGAAATCGGTTGATCCGTGCGCCCGAAAACGTGGACGAAAAAACGCGGACATACAAAACACACACACACACACACACACACACATCCATTTTTTCTGAAGTATGCCAAAATGTTCAGAAACCTTCAAAACGTCGAGAAATGTAAAAATTTTTGATTTCGATTTTCGGACGATTACTATAACTTACCCTACGGGAAGTTAAAAAAAACAGTTCTTAATACTGATAGCTGACTACACAACCTTTCACTACGATATTTTAAGATATTTTCATTATAATCAATAAAAATGTGCAAAAAATGATATATTCGGATTCGAATAAACTATAATAATCTAATGATAAATATTGAAACAAAACATGGCGCCCATGGACGATATATACAGAGGTATACTTAATTATCTATGATATACAGGTAGTCAAGTGGCTGTCGTTCACTCGTAGCTTAAGGGTAAATAATAAATAATAACTGATACTTACCAAGATATTCTTCATTTTTTGGAACTTGAACAAACTCTAATAAATCTAACTTCTCCTCATCGTTCTGCAAAAAATCATAAAAAACTCGTTGTCACTCATGTTAAACTCTCTCCATAAAACACATTAAACATTTCATAATTTTACTTTACTTAAACTGAGCAAATAAACAGAAACACGAAACGAACTATACCGAAGACATGCGAATGAATTCTTGGCAGTTTCGTCGCGTTCGATGAAACCGTCTTGTCAAATCGTTGGAAACTGTCATGAGATGGCGCATGCGCTGTGTAAGAAATCATAATGAGTTTGGAAGAGTTGTGGATCGTCACAAACTGCCACTCCGAACAAACCCAAGAGAGCGCAGCGGCGCTACGACAAAACGTTAAAACGGTGAGATTAACAGTTCCGTTATACTTGTTTACCCATGGTTCCGAAAGATTTTTATTTCATACTAGCTGACCCGGCAAACGTTGTTTTGTTAAGTATTTTTAAACAATTTCTAGAGAATCAAGAAAATTAATGCTTTATTTTAAGTGCATAAGGATGTGTAGTGTATAATGAACGTCTACTTGTTCAATATTGTATAATTTATATTAACATTATTCGTTTGCCCATATTTTGTTAATACTATCCAAATTTTTTTGGATCTTTCGACTCATTCGTTTTTCTTTTTTGCTATTTTTTAAAAATTTGTTATCTAGTCCATTTTACTCCTTAGGCGAGGTAACTTGGGACAGCCAGATGGCAAACAGGTTCAATGTCTTATTTTAATTTAAAAGGTATTTTACAAAATAATTACATTATTCCACTAATGCAGAATATAAATTCCAATTTTTATTATCAGTTAATATACTTATTTAAATTGTTGACTGTTATAACTCGAAATAAGTTATTCGACAATGTCCCCTGCACTTAATTCTAAATTTAGAATATTAATTTGAATAACTTAAATAAAATTAATAATAATATAAAAATATTTTATGAATGCGAATGAGTATAAATTATACAGTTTTTTTAAGAGTACTGACTTTGACAAAAATATGATTTGCAAAGCAAATGTGCCATGAGGCCAAAAATTTATTTTATATTAACATTTAAAAAAAGTTGATATTTTGAGTTTCAAATAATAATTGCGGCCCGTTTAATAATATTTTATAAGTATAAATAAAATAACAAACTACAAATAAATAGTATTCAATAATATTCATTTAAAACACCATATTAAAATTTAGAGCTGTGAACCGGATCCGGGTCCAGCGCGGTTCCGGTTCTGGAACCGGTTCCCAAATCTTGGGAACCGACGACGGTTCCATTTTTTTCTTAATTTTTTCTGTCACCTACAACGTTTTATTTTTATATCCTATATTATTATTTCTAATTCTTATTAATTTTAATTCAACATTTCAAAAATTCAAATATAATAACTCAAGAGATTATTTATTTCCATTTCAAAGCCTAATTTCGATTCAAAATTAATTAACTTATTCGAATTAAGAAGTTAAACCAATTATAACTTTCGCAAAGGAGTACTTTGTTTGTTTGTTTGTTTTTCATTCAAAACCTTTTCTTAAAAAAAATTAAATCGATTTCGAATATTACTATTCGAAAAATTTGGGGATATGCTGAACGGGTATTTTCTTCGTAATCAACCGTTAAAATATTTTTATTTACGATTTTAATTAAATCTACAATGATTTTTTACCAAAAATAATAATGAATTATAAATTAAGTACATTTCAGTTCAATATTCAGCTTTAAGAATTTAAAAATTTATTAATTTTGGTTAATAAATCGTTACCGAATATGTACACTTAACTTATGTACAATTATACACAACAGTTTGTATTTGGGCAGAAAGAGAGATCAGAACTTCTGCGAATGCTTGAAAGGGACAGAATAAGGGATGAACTGCCGCTGTTCATCGCTTATTCTGTCCCTTTAAAGCATTCGCAACACAGATAAACAGACCACATGCGAAGAATTTTTTTGTTTATAGATAGGCAAAGGAGACGTGTTGCGACACAATATAAAAAATTAAACATTGTTATATGTATTAGTTTGAATCTTTTCATTGCGAGCCATCAGTCTTTAGCCCATAAATATTGATTTTAATGACTTGTCCAAATCATACTTTGACAATTGTTTTCAGAAAGAACCCCAACTATTTTCAATAGACAACACCCGACTACAAGAGCCGCATTTCGTTAATCCGTCTAAATTATTATTTCTGAAACTAAATATTTATCCATTTCAACAACATTCCAAACGATATAGAAGTTAATACAAACACTTCTATTCTACTTTTAAAATTGTCAATTTTTTTAAAAAATATAATCAGTTCATGTAACATATATTAGTTTATGTTTCAATTATATATTATTTTATATATTTGTTATTTATATATGAAACACTATTTTAAAATATGCAATATTTCAAAATTAATTAGTAAACTCGAAGGAATTTTTGAAATTTGTTGTTTTACGATTTATGAGTCGATGTACAATCGCCAGGCTCTAAAAATACGCTTCTGCTTTATATATAAATATATAAACACTAATACATATTTATATATATATATATATATATGCTATATATATATATATAAATATGTATTAGTTACTAATATTATGATCATAAGGTACAATCTTCGGACTGCAAGAGTGGAATTACATAATGGGAAGAACTTAGGTAGAATAAATTCTAACGTTAAAAATAAAATAAAATATGTTGGCAAAGTAAGAAATTTTTATATTTCTATGAAGTTACCAATTTAGAAATTAACTAACTTTTAAAAATATTAAATTTACTTTTAAAAGTATGCTTCAAAGTAATTAAAGAAGTGTATTGGTTTATGAAAAGTTTATAATTATTTATTTAGAAGTTTATGAAGATTACGTATAAGCTAATTCAAGGAGTCAACAACTACTGACCTGGGACCACGGACAGTAGCCAGCCAGAAGAAGAAAATAATAAATTATAATTTCAATGTAAATATAGCTAATGTAATAAATAATATTATATTATAGTATTTGTGTTATTCAAGTGGAAATATATGTGGAAGATACACACATAATTGGTGACCCCGACGTGATATTTTGATCTGAAGATGAAAAAATCAGGTAAGAATTCTGACAAAACGCCTTCCAAGACACCGAAGGGTTCCGCATCTAAACCTGCCTCAAATCATGTATCCACAAACAATACAATTAACCGAGTTGCAGTAAAAATACCACCGTTCTGGAACAATAGCCCGAATCTACGGTTTGCGCATGTGGAAGCACAGTTTGAAATTGCTTCAATAACCAACGAAAACACAATTTTTTTATGTAGTTGCCCATCTCAAATGGAAGCACGCATGCGAAGTGGAGGACGTGATTCGTAGGCCACCAGCAGAGAATCCCTATTTTTATTTAAAAGAAGTCCTCGTAAGCAGACTATGCGCATCAGAAGAGACTACAATCAAGCAGCTACTTTCGCAGGAAGAATTAGGGGATCGCAGCCCATCACAATTTTTGCGACATCTTCGCTTCTTGGCCGATCACACAAAAATAGGTGAAACAATATTCAAATCTTTATGCATACGACGGCTGCCTGCTTTCGTTCGCGGCATTTTACAAATCCAAAGTGACCTACCTTTAGATGGATTGGAAATCTCAGCGGACAAAATACTAGAAGCTCAACCGTTGGTCCCGCATGTAGAGGAGGCATTAAAGTATGCTAAGAATTTGACACTTGCTAACAATTCAGCCAGCATGAAGGTGCCGGCGAAGACAGATATCAAGCTGTCAAGCATTTCAAATGTCATGAGCGCGTCGGCCATTTTGCGTATTGTTTTTTTATTAAGTGAGCTTGTTTCATATTTAATATTAATATTTTTTAGCTTTTCGTTATGATTCATTCTTTTTGTGTTTATTTTTTTTATGTCCGTTCAAGTTTATTCGCTTTGGCTTTTTGATTACGCGCCTATTTAGTTCATATTTTAATTTTCACATTTTAGGGTTATGTTTTAGGATTCTTTTCATTCAAAGATCATTTTAGTCTAGCTTAGATTTTATACAATGTTTTAGTTATAATTTTCTTTTAAAAAATAATTTAGGCTTACGTTTCACGCATGGGGTTACACTTCATTTATTATTTTTGTTAGGCTTACGTTGTATACATTATTAGATTTGGTTACGATCTTAATCTTAATTCAGTGGAAGCTAACTAAAACTCAACAAACAATAAATAGAAGGTTCAGTAAATGAAATAAAATTGAAACACTTTTGATGTTATAATACTAAATCAAAATACTTCATACTGTCTTGGAATTGACAGATATATTTCGTTTTTTCTGCAATATTTGCTATGAGGGAACAAGATATATTGTATTTTAACGTAATATATTGTCTAAGGTAAAGGCTATCATCTTCGTATTAGACAATATAATAATCATAATAATAATAATACTTGTTTGGCTGTGATAATAATGATCTTGACAGGTTTTAGCTGTCAAAGTTATGAATCCAATACATTTCAACTTGACGGCTAACTTCTATGTCGTCGCCAACTTCATGCTGGCTGAAATGTTAGCAAATGTCAAAATTCTTAGCATGATTTAAGGTGATGTCGCCTGTAGGCTCAACAAAGCAGCCACACCACAATCAATCTACCGACATCTACTACAAACACACCCTGGAAATTTGCAAGAACAAATTCGACGTTTAGGTAGATCAAGATCGAGGAGCAGCGAACGACAAGAAACCACGAAATACTGGTATCATCAGCAATTTGGAAAAAAGGCAAAAAATATCAAAAACCATGTACGTGGAAAACATATAGCAGAATACGCAGCACAAAAAGCGAGGAAACCGATCAGTAGTGGCGACAACTGATCATCAATCCGCTAAACGTCGCCTTTTTGTTCTTGATAAGAATAATAACACCAAATTTCTTGTAGATACCGGTTGAGACGTTTCGTGTTACCCCAGGAGAGCCTTCAGTAAATGCAACAAATCAGAGTATAAACTACAAGCTGCCAATGGTACTCCAATTCGAACGTACGGACTGAAGAATTTGCGTCAATCTCGTGCTGCGAAGACAGTTTGACTGGAAATTCATTATCGCAGACGTGGATACACCAATAGTAGGTTCGGATTTCTTAGCATTTTTGGGCTTCTACTAGATTGCCGAAATAAACGCCTGATCGATGGAAGAACTGGGTTACACACCGCATGTGTAACTCATACATCACACCAAGAAAGCGTTAAAACACTCATACACAAGGATCCGACAATTCAAAAACTACTATCAGAATTTCCAAATCTAATCAAACCATCCGACGCACTGCGTAAACCCCTCCACAGCACAAGACATTCCATTATTACAACGCCAGGCCCACCTGTAACATGCCGTCCACGTCGTTTAGCACCAGACCGATACCAGAT